GCTCACATTTCGACTATGCCTTTCTAAGTACTTAAAGATACACTTTCGTAGTAGAATCGTAAGTTTTTTTTTATTTTAACAATATTGTATATATTTTTTTAAAAAATAATGATTTTATCGTCGTGTGTGTGTGACGCACTGACGCTTCACGCAATCAATGCCAATTAATGTGGGTGTTTATTAATACTTTAGTACTTAAATCACTTATTCACCTTTTACTTTAACGCTCTCTCTCCTTTTTTTTCATCGTTTACTCTTTTTTTTTTCTTTTTCTTATTGTATATATGTATTTAAAAATTTATATATTTGGTGAAGGATGATATGTTTTGTATAGTAAAATTTGTTAAAAAAGACAAATGTCTATATTTTTAACGAATAAAAGGTTAGAGGTAAACTGATAAAACAGAAAAACTTGTAATTTTGTCCAGCTGGGATAAAATTTCAAACAAAACCAGTTTATACCCGTTAATAAAGATTGGACAGTAACCAGTTTATAGTAGTAGTTCAATATTTATCGGAACATAATAATTTCAGTGCTATATAATATATTATCTTTGGACAATGTCTTTTTAATCATGAGTTTAAGTTCATGATTAATATTTTTCTTTTTCTAAATGGGTATCAAAATAATGAAGGACAACATGCAAACAAATTTTTGATGTGCCATCTAAAAAGTAGTTAAATATGAAAGAAGATACAATTACTAACGAGTTTTAAGTTTCAATAGCAAAATTATTATTCGTCTGTTATTTTATAAAACTGTGTATATTTTACAGAAAAATATGAAAGACAATGGATCAAAGGTAAAGCGAAAAAAAGAGAGATATGTAATCATTACAAGAGAAATTATGAGTTGGAAAAGGACAATCAAAATATGAACTTTTTGGCCCACAACATTCGACAACTCACAGAAATCAAAGGCTTTTTTGGTTTTCCCAATTCATTCAAGAAGAAAAAACATCCCAACTTCTTGATTTTCACTTTGTTTTTTCTTATTTTTAAATCGCAAAAGATTTATTATTTTACATAAAAAGCCTCTATTTTGGACCCAACATGCTTCTGTATGTCACTCTATTCACATTCATGAAAGTTTCTTTAGTTCCTTTCTTACTCAGATACTCTTTTAAGTCTTAACTAATAAGTGTCCATGTATATTGTAATTTGTAATGTACACATGAATCATTTAGAATTAATGTACACTAAAACCTGATACAGCAAAACTAAGTATACTTAAAGAGTAAAAATTAAAAACTCCCTTCAAAATATAACTAATGCAAGAATTAGTTTTATTGTTAATTTTGTATCTGTTTTCAAAACTTGCTTGCTGGAATATTTGGTTTCTTTTTTTGTCTTTTTTTGTGTGTTTCTTGATTATTTAAATTATTATTTATAGTGAGGAATCCCAATAAAGGAGAGAACTCTTTATTTTTTAGCATGTTACTAAAGTAAGACAAGAAAAGCACCCAAAACAAGACAAATTTCTAGGCTTTGCTTTATTACAAAGTTTTTGTGAGCTAAAAATATTTCCTTAGATGATTAAGTCTTAGATATATACAGGTTGCAGTTTTTGGCAAACTGTATAATTATCGATATTGTATACACATGAATTTGAACATGGTCATGGTTTCTCTCCCTGAAAACTAAACATGAGTTTGAGATTATAATTTGTTTTCTTACAAAATTACCCTCTTGTCATTTTAAAAAGGGAAAATTGGAAATAAATTTCGGTTCATCCTTCTAACCTTATATGCTAATGAACTAAATATATATATAAATATAATTACAAGGCATTAATCGAAGCAATACATTACACATGCGGATGTTTGAAAATTTTCTTCTCACGATGATCCTATATTTTATGATTAATGTATCTTCGAAGAAACTATTTAAAAAGATTGCTAAAGTAGATCGAATATATCAATGTATCTATGAAAAATACCGAATACATAACAAGGATATGGTTCGATCGCAAAACGTGTCTACGATTGCCATGAAAATCAGCATCTAGTGACTAGTGTAGTAGTCCTCAAACGAAGAGAGATAGAAAAGGTAAAGTTGAAAAACTTAAAAAAGAGTTCAAATATCAGCATTAGTCTGTAGGATTCGACTTTGATCCTGAAAACTACAAGAACAAATATGTTAATAAGACAAAAATATAACTCATGAGATATATAATTATTTGAAGAGTTGCCATATACTGAAAAGTTTTTACGTTATAAGTGTGTGTTCAAATAACAAATATTTCTAAAGATACAGATTCTGGAATAATTTGAAGAAGAAAACAAGTCAATGTTAACAAAATAGGAAGAGCATGATAACACAGAGTTTTAACC